ACTTGATAATTCGATATCTCAGTCCAGAAGAGCCATGCACCCAAACCCTTCTAGACTTTTTCACTACTCAGTAGGACCTATCGAATGGCAATGGTCCCGAGCGAAAAGCGATTTAACACCTAAAGAGGTTTCCTCGTTAGAATATTTTGGCTGTTGTGCTGCTTTTGTTTTTTTTACAACTTTGGTATACTATACATACATACATTTTACATCTTCTAGGGTGTATTTTAAGGAGAAAAAAAAATAATAAGGAAATTTTAAAAAAATAAAGCAATACTCTTATTGTAATGATTTTTTCGAAGATCTTGATTATATGTGAGTATCATTCAACCTTTTTGCTCATTCCTGTTGAATAATATTATTACTAGTAAATTATCAAATATACACAAGTAATGTACATACTAATTAATCAGTCTATCAAGCAGCAGCTTTTATCTTTCTCGTACGACGTTGCATCTCTCTCTCTTTAATGTCAAGGACCTTTACTATGAAAAATGCTTCCTCTTCTAACATGAGGAAATTTACTTTCAGAGTTGTACATAGACTACCGAATACTATTCGGTACATTACTACTATTCGGTACATTACTACTATTCGGTACATTACATGATATATATAATCCTCTATTGAATAGAGGATTATATATATCATGTAATCTCTCGCTGTTGGAACGGTTTATTAATCGCTAAATTTACTACTTTTTTCTCAAATTCATTCTTTTCCAGTCAGTTTCTAGAAAACACTTTAATTTTTCTATTTTGGCAGCAATTCGAGTCCAACATGAACGCTACTATTATCAAAGTCACATGAAGTGTAATCTTTCTGTATGCATTGATTAAAATTTTGACGTGTACTTTTAAGGAAAAAAATAACAAGGAAATTTTAACTTGAAAAACGTATATCGGTTTTCCATGAAAGGATCCATCTCCTTCGAAAAGTAGAAGGGACCGAAAAATTGAAAGAGGAAATTCATTACGAAAGAGTTATCTGAGTATACTTTTTACCTTTTTGGGATTCACTTGCGCAAGTTAAAAGTGAACTCATGAAATGAATGAAAACAACTGAATATTTAATAACAAAATCCAATCTGAGAGAAACAAATTATGAAGCTCTAAATTCCAGTTCAAATAGTAGCATTTAAGAATAATTGAATGAATGCAATGGTGAATTTACCAATACATAGATGGCGTTAATACACTAGATAATATTTCTCTCCCTTTTTCGTCCGCACTCGTCCACAATAAAACATGTAATCTGGAAATGAAAACATCAATTATTTATCCATTCAGTATCACTACAAATTTGACTTTCACAAAATTTTAACGCGAAATTTACGATTGGTTCTTTTTCTGATACTGTTGTAGAGCGAAGCAAACAGCAAAAGAGGAAGCTTCGATATGTTGTGTAGATCGATGAGCAAAACAATTTTCAGTAGGTTTTACTTTTAAATTTTTTGGCAGAAAGCAAATTTAAATGATATGGTATGTTCATATAAATGCAGCTTTGCTTACTCTATCTTGTCTGGCGTATTTCGAAGAAAATAAACCACCTTCCCTATTGGATGCAAAAGCAATATTTAAGATATAACTCTCGAACTTTCGCTCGGGTAAAATTTCGTCTACAGAAAGAGAACATCTGCATACTATAACAAACATAAAGTTCCAAGGAACCATATTGATCAAACGAAGCGTTGAAAGGAAAGTGGCTGTGACAACCTTTGTATTTTGTACGTTTTTAAATTGTCGATTTTACTAAAATCTTAATCTGGTCTCGATCTATAACTGCGAGACAGAGTTTTGAGATTGGAGAAAAGCCCAGAAAGGTTTGTGTTAATGTTATCAACAGAATGTATAGTTGAATATTCATTCAAAGTTTGAATGCTCGCAAAATTACGGAAATCTACTAAGTTGAAGACTGAATTTTTGAAACATGCTTCAGAATGGAAAATATTTGGTTTTTCTGCCACTTTAGGTCCAAACTGATAATGTTTCTTGTCAATCTGTGGTAACATGAATCATAACTTACTCATCTAGATATTCTTCCAATTTGAGACAAAAATTTCATTCGAAGACAGGATAAAAACTTTATTTTCACGGCCAAAAATAGCTGATATGCAGATTCATCATTTGATTAACGAAAATCAAAAAAAGATTACTCCCACTGTTTCATGAAATGTACCTATCATTGCTCGCTGTATTCTAATCGAATACGTAGCATGTAGTTGCCCATGAAAAAGAGAGTGCTCTCGCAATTGGTCACTTTAAGGGATCGATAAGTGGCTAGCACTTAGAGGTGATTTTCAGAAATCTTCTTTTTTTTAGCAGTACGTCTTTATTTCACTGCCTTATCGAACGTACGTTTTTAAGTCGAATTGTTTTCTAACTGATTTTAGATAATATCTGTATATTTTTAAAACTGTAATGAGTGGTCCAGACGAAAGTGAAGAACAAAATAGGTCATCATTTTCGACAGAAAGTGAATCAGTTGAGTCCGAAGGTACATGCTATAATAATGATTTTATTAACAAAATACATTTAGATTTTTTATCGTTTAGTTGATATTGAACACAACTACAAACAAACATTGAATTCGTTGATAACAAATATCGAGTGTCCTGAAAATTATTGTAATGGAGGTGAAATAAATGAAGAACATCAACCTTGGTTATATGTAAGTGGTGTAGGGTCAATTTTGTTACCATTAACACAAGCACAAGCCGCAGCAATTATCGACAAATGTATTTATTTGCCAGACCAATCAAATAAAGAGATAGAGGATGTCGACGACTCAACGGTAAGAGATCTATGAACAGTTTTAATAAAACGTGACTTAAATTAGACATTTAAAGTTTTTATTGCACTTGAAGATTCGAGAGAATGTTTGTTAAAAGTTTGACTCTTATTTAAGTAATTTTTTCTTGCTTAGATTCGTAAAACATGGCAATTAACATCGTGTTCATTTCGAATACGAAGTCTTGAATGGCAATCAGTTATACTGGAATATTTAAAATCAAAAATTATAAATGATTTAGGTTTAAATAGTGCATTTTTAATAGAAAATTCATTTGAATTAAAATTATCAAAACTGTTGCTATATGAAACTGGTGGATGTTTTAAACCATTTAACTATGATAAAGAACAGAATGTCATCGCTGTATTATTTGTTTATCTGTTGTCAGCTTATGAAGGAGGTGAATTAATCGTTGAAAATAAAAAACAACAACATTTATTTGATTACTCTTCTGATAGTAATAAAAAAATGTATTATATTGTCTATTATGCAAAGTAAGCTATTTGATTTTTTTTATCACTATGTATCGTTCAAAGAGTTTCTGATGATTATCTATCAAATATTAGGCAATTTTTTTGAGCCGACACTAGTTTTTGAAAAACTTTTTATCAAACAAGGAAGCAGACTGTTATCAAAGCAAAAAAATATTTTTTAATCGATTCTACAAAATTTAATATTCTGTTTTTCAAATGTTTCTCCTTCAAGTAATTCCTCACAAATAGCAATATATTTGTGATTAAGTTCAACTTGAATGATCAATATAATCTTGAGTATTAAAATATTAAAAACATAGTGTTTATTATTAATGAAGGTTTTTAAAATTTAATGTTTTGATAAATGTTATTTCGAGCGTAGTATTCATAGGTCATCATTTTATACGACATTTTCAATTTTGTTAGAACAAACACCACATTCTCAATATCTTAAAGAGAGAACGTTAGTTCACATCTGCAGATTGTGAACGTCATTAATATTTTATTCAAATTTGAAATTAGAAAAAGTTTGCTTCAATATTTTTCGATACCTCGAAAATTATTGTTATTTACAAGTAATAATTGCTTAATTATACATTTTTAAGATAGTAGCAGAATTCATTATTCTTTCTAATTAATAAAAATCCTTAAATTTTTATGACAGATAGAATTTGTAAAGAATCTAACGATTAAATTACAAATTGTTCATCAAAGTTTTTCTTATCCTGGATGACTCATTAGTATTTTTTATATATTTTAGTTGTAACTATGAAATACAACCTGTTCGAAGTGGCTATAAATTTGCATTAATGTATGAAGTTATTGTGGAAAAATGTCAACAAATTCCAGGTATATATCTTACTCCCGATTCACATAATGAAATATTAATCGAACAAACAAGAAATGCTCTATCTGAATGGCTTAAAGGTAGTGATGGTTTAACAAAATTAATAATACCAACAACAAACTCGTATACAAAAGGTGATATTATGCAACTGTCATTAAATAAAAAAGATCGAGCATTAACAAATTTATTATGGTTATCAATAAAAAGATTTTCGTGTAAATTATTATCATCATTGACCAATATAAATAATTCTTCACATGATGAATTTTTATTATATTTTGGAACATTGAAACGTGAAGTTGAAGTTGATGATGAAGGTGATGATTTAACTGATAGAACAACAATTACAAATTTGATACTTGTTAATGATATTGAAAAATTTGAATTTAATAAACGATTCTTGACTGATACATTTCATTTCAAAAAGGAAAAAAAATTGTCTGTTAATCATCGTCATTTATTACCAGATGATTATTGGGATGATTTGACACCAAGCGTTTCACGTATTAATAGGCAATCAGGTATTCAAAGGTCATCAAGACCAATTGATTCTGTGATTATGAGTATAAAAATTTTGTCTAAACGTTGAGAACTAAAAGTGGAAACAACGAATGAGATGAAAGAATCGTCAGGGAGACGCTTACTCTATGACAAATAGTTTGAGAAACAGTGATTATTTATCTATCTTAAAGTGTTTTATCTACAAAGTTTTTTTATTTATGGAGTACTCATGTTCGCTTCTTATTTGCTTTAGATGTTCACTTCAGAACTACAATTCCACTAAGGGTGTTCTCTACCTTTCCATCGATAAAACTAATTTTTTTGAAATTTTGAAATATTTTTTGTTTGTATCACAAAATTTTTTTCAAGTTGACAGTATTTTAAACTGAAGAGTTTTCTTCAAAATAAGATGTCTCTCAGCTATTCACGGTATTTCTGTCAAAAGTTGCAAAACAATTTACCAAGAGTCCTACTAAAAGTGATCTGCGTATTTCTTCCTAGTTCAAATCTCGACTCGGTCATGTTGCGTCCTGTACTGGACCCACTTTGCCCTTTCGAACTCAGATTTTCATTAGAGATAATAGATATCCATACGCTCCAGTGTTTTCCGATTTAGTCTTTTAATATCTTTTTTTCCATACCGAAAGCTACTGAACACTGAAAATCTTCGAATGGAAATCGAGTTCTCTACGAAATTGTTCTATAAATCTTCAATGTTACATCCTGGAGACCTAAATCGAAAAACACGTGAACGTATGGAAGCTCAGTAGTATCTGTGGTAAGAATTTGTGCTCGAATGGAGAAAGTGTTGATGGTGTCGATACGGTACGCAATGAAAAATCTGATTTGTCGGAAAAACCATGTCTAGAGATGAGTTCTAAGTTCAGAGCAAAAGATATGTCCAGTTTGATTTTTGAGAGGTAAAATTTTGTGACCGTTAAGATGTTGTAGTAAGACAGGAAATGAGGAGCAGTTGTAATCCTTAATAAATGTAGGCTTTTTCTGTCTCAACTAACGATGTTTGGTAAGGAGAAGAGTTAAGCTGTCGGGAGATTTAATTCTTCTCTTAGTTTTCTTTTTTTGATTATGAAAATAGAAGAGGAGAAAATGTGATCTTTAGATCTTTGATAAAATTCTCTGTCATAGTCAAAATCGTGTAGAACGATACAAAAAAAGTGATTTCATTATTAGCTAGATAATAGTTTCTACAAATATATCATTTTTCCACTATTCTATAATTGAAATTATCGTTCTTATGTTCTTTTAGGTAATGAAGTATTGTGTTATAATAATATTGGTGTCCTATTAATAGTACCATTTCATCAAAAATATCAATTATTACTTGATAATATTAATAATCTTGGTGATGTACTTAATCGAATGTGTCGTACAACTGAAAATAATTTATTAACTATATCACCACATGATTTATCATCATCATCAAAAGAAAATAAATTTTATTCAATATTTAAATTTGAATCTATTGAAATACTCAATTGTTTTTTAATGAGTGATAATCAAAATTATTATATACGAGTAATATTACAAAATTTTTTATTATTAGTTAAACAACAAACAATTAATGATGAATCAATAATAAATGTTATAGAAACAATAATGAAACATAATTTATTTATTAAACAACTATTATCAGATAAAAAATTTGAAAGTATTATTAATGAACTTGGTGATAAATGTGGTTGGAAAAAAATTGAATGTCAAATATTTAATGCATTTCAATTATCACTCAAACGATCAACATCAAATATACAAAGTGCTGCTGAATTTTTAATATCATTTGTAACAACAACAAGTGAAAAACATGAAATATTATTTTTAAAATTATGTATGATTAATGAACTATTAACTGTAACAATTAATTCATTACCAAAATCTGAAATAATGTGGAAAAATGTTTCAAGATGGCGAATTTTATCAGATTTATGTCCCATAATACATTTATTAAGTTTATTTCATACAGTCTATTTATCTTCATTAACATTTATTTCATCATTTCTTATTAAATTTATTGATAAAAAATATGAAACAACTGAAATTATTGATGGTGTTTTACAGCCAACATTAATATCTTGTTTAATTAAAATTTGGCCAATTATTTGTAAAAATAGTTTAATAATACCATTATGGTTTCAAATGTTATATAATTATTGTTTAAATATTTTAAATGAATCTTGTAATCAACAATTATCTATTATATCACCAATTTGGACAAGAATAACAACAGAAATTAATTGTGAATGTAATAATTGTAAATTATTACAAAATTTTTTTGAAGATGAAAATGCAAATAAACAACAATTTATAATGGTTAATATTCAACAACGACAACATTTTAATCGTACTATTGATCAATTAGAATTACCTCTCACATTGATTATTGAACATAATGGTGATAATGAAAATTTATGGATTAAAAAAAATGGTAGTAAAATTCGAAAATGTGAAAAATATGAAAGTTTACGTCAACAATTAATTGATATGAATATTAAAAAATTAAATGAACTTGAATCATTATCAATATATAATACTTCAGTTCCTATTACAAAAATAACAACAATTTCCAATAGTAATCTGAATAGTCTAAATTCGGATTTGGTCTAATTATTAAATATAAAACTTCTTTTTGATTTTTTGTTTTTGTATTACAGTTGAAATGCAACAGTTTTTCTTTTATACAAAAATAGATGAATGAACTTATTGAATGTTGAAAACTATTTTTCTTTGTTTTTTTTTTGTCAGATAAATTCTTCCTGTGAACAATCGAAAACTTTTTGATGAGAAAGTTTTTATGTTTTTATGTCTATAATCTTCTATAGTTAAAATTGTGAATATTTTATTTATGGATTTCAAACCAAATATTCAAGAATACTTAGTACGTTGTTTTGGGCGAATTTTTTCTTCTTTGTTAAGAGTGTCATTTTACTTGTATATGTATATATATATATATATATATATATATTTCTTTTATTTTTCTATTGTAATACTTTTTGTTCTATGAAACGTGTGATTAAGAGAAATCAGAAATGTACAAGTTATTTAAATTTATTGACACATTTTGTCTGATGAATATTAACTATTGATTTTCTTGACATTTCATCGTTGTCAAAAATGACACGTTACTAACTGAATATAGCTGCTGTTGATTTAGATCAATTTATGTCCGATAATATTAAATTTCTATTGATTCAAGTCACTCTTTGGTATGGACACGGTTGATTGATATGTACTAAACTGAACTATATTTTTATTTTTCCAAGCATGGTTTTTACAAAAGGAAGAGCTATTATATTAATGCAATACCGAAAATAATGAATAGTTAAAGAAATACTAATAAAAAAAATAGGTGTTACCTTTGTGTCTAGTCTACTTTTTGACTTTCACCCTACATCCAAAGGTAATGGGGTCTAACTACCGTTTTCTTTTGGCTGTTTCATTTGCTTAGCTTGAATAGTACGTAGTTTCGGTCCATCAGACGAATATATCATTTGTCTTTAATATAAGCTTCTATTGTTGTTTTTTGCCCTAGTATTATCATTCGGGAGCAGTCAATATATCGTTTCAATAAGAAAAAAATATCTAAAGAGGAACAGGACAAAATATTTTTCTAGAAAAAACAAAAGAATTTTAAATGAAAAATCTATTAGAATATTTGTAGGTAACCATGTCATAGATGACAAATTGGACAATACTGTGACTCATTCTGTAAAAGCAACCGGAGTAGAGTTTATTGATCACGCTGATTCTCTTGTCAATGTTTGTTTTCATTAAAAACTTGTAAAACCTAGCAAAAAATTTAATTTAAGAAAAATAAGTCATTTTCATAAAAAAATGGAAAAATGTTGTAACTCATTCAATATCAGATCAAATGGTTCAGAACATACTCTGTTTTATCTACTCTATACATTGATAAATCTAGAAGTACGTTAATTTTGAAGAAAACATCTTGAATCTTATACGAATTTTTGAAAATTTTTTGAAATATAAACAAGATCCTTTTCCCATTTTGAACTGTTTCATCATTTAAATAATCTTGTCTTTATATTCATTCACTCATAAGATATATCATCTAACAAGTGGAGAATGGGATTTGATCTTTTCATAGATCGATGTCTCAATATCAAAATTCATTATAGAACTAATAAACAGACAGGAAAAAATTGTCCAAATATCGAAGTTGATAAGCCAACGAATGAAACTTAAAATACGTTGACTTTCGCTTTCTGACTAAATATTTGTATCAAATGCTCATTGTAGTTTAGTGTAATCAATACAATCACTGTTTATTCTTCTGGTTGTCACGATCACAGTAAAATTTTAACAAAAAAAATTAATTACTTTTTATTTTTTTGTACTTTTCCCGAACATTTTTGAAAAACTTTTTTTATAATTAATTTGTCAAAACATCCATTGCCGAGTGTCTTTTTATTGAAGACTCTTGATTATATGAAGTTTTCTGTGAAATTTTGGTTGAACAAAAAAAGTAAACAAAACAAAAATTGAAGTAGATACGTGTGTCGAAGTTGACATTCTGTTAAGCAAACAAAAAAAGGGAAGAAAAAGAAAAGTAAAGTAATGACGTTAAGAACATTATGTTTCTTTTATCTTTCCTTTTTCTTTTCTTTTTTTTTTTTGTGGTAAAATTTTCTATATATTTTACATTTTGATATATGAAAATTTTCAAGTGAAACAGAGACACAATTTGAAACGTTATTCAAAATAAAATTAGGCTTGTATAAGATCAAGGCTACTATATGTATTTGTAGCAGCTATTTTTTATATGTCAAATGAATCAATTGAAAAAGAGATTTTTAGTTTTTCAGATTTTAGTGTATCTTCCATTCTACAAGAAGAATGACGTATAAGAAAATAATTTCTACTTTAATTATGTGTGTAGAAATGTTATAACCACGGTGACCAAGATGATGTTCAAATATCAAATATAAATTTATGTTTGCAAGAGTATAAAATTTTGTTGCAAATATCTATTTTTACCAGTAAGAAGAGTATTTTTAGTATAACTTACCAGTCGACGCTGTCAATTATATTATATAAAATAGAATTAAATCTTGATTTTTTTGTTCATATCTGCCTTTTTTTGACAATAGAGAGAGAGAAAGAGAGAGAGTTAGAAGAAGAATAAGAAAAAAAAACAATGAAAGATATCGAGATTAAAAATGACAATTAGAATTTAATTTGTCGTATTGTCTAATGTCAGTAATGTAAATAGAACTGGTAAATAACGTTGATAATGTTCCCATACAGTATTTTGAAATGTCAGTTTTGGTTCGGATTTAAAATGCCGATATAAACATAAAAATTCTACAACACCCATTTTATCTTCTAAATATGTTCTTAAAGTATTTATTTTCTGTATTCGATTTTCTTTTTGTTTTGCCACCGACATCAATATCAACGTTACACTTTCATCCCAAATAAATTCATTGTTTTGTTTTGAAATTGATGATGATGACTCTTTAACAACAGCAAAATTATTTGTCGTTTCATTATTAACAGTTGGCGTTGTTGCTGTTGATGTTGTTGTTGTTGTTGTTGTCGACATTTTTAATAAACCATTTAATAATGGTGTTCTATCATTGATATTTGATTTTGTTATTTTTATTACTAAATCATCTTTACTATTATTATTACAATCATTCGTTGAATATGTTGATGATGAAGATGATGTTGAAGATGATAAACTTTTTTGATCATCATCAGTATTATTTAAACATAAATTTAATGGTTGTTCAATAGATAGAAGAGAATTATGTCGTTTACGTTTTGATAGATGTTTACAAGAAGGACTATCTTTCTCTTCAAATTGTGTACCTGATGGTATTATAACAGAGAGTGGTAGTGATTCATTCTCAATTGTTGTTGATAATGGTAAAGATGGAAGTATGTCTTTACTTTTTACTTTTTTCATTGAACTCAATTGAAATTTTCCTTGTATACCGGCACGTGACATAGAATTTTGTAATAATTGATCGAGACGATGTTTACCAGCTGCCATTGTTTTATACCTATTATGAAAAAAATATAAAATGAATAAAAACATGAGTTTATTTAATTACATATGTTTTACATACCAAACACGTTGAAAATTTGATATACGTGGTACAAGATAAAATGGTGATTGAAGTGTATTTGATTGTTGTGGACGATGAGATGTATACATTTTATAGGCTTGTACTGGACACTTAGATAAATCAGCAGGATTAGCATAGGCACGTGGATGTATTATATTTGATGATGAAGATGTTGTATTATTACATGAATTTCCTTCATTTAATTTTGTTTGTTTTCTATTATATTCTAAATATTCATCATTAATTAATTCAATATCTCCCCATAATAATGATTTATTTACTGTTGATTCAAATCCATTATTATTATTCGTTGTTGATAATGTCGTTGATTTTTGATCAAAATATTTTGAATTATTAATAAGTATTTCTAATAGTAAACCGTCTGGTGTTTCACGATTTATTAAATTTTTTTCACGTAATATTAATTCATGTTTGATATTAAATATGTCAATATTTGTTTGAAATGTTGTTTTACCTAATTTTCGCCATTGATCACGTTTAACTAATATAACATTTCTACATGATTGAAATATAGATGATTCCATTAGATTATATTCATATTTTTTTGATTTTAAATAACGTTCAACACTTAAAAGAAAACTACGTAATGTATCCGGTTCATAATCGGTACCATCAAATTTTTTTGTATTTTCAAAATAATGTTTCAAATATATACATAACATATCTGGTTTAATTTTATGTAATTGACATTTTTCACTAAATTTTTCATCAATATACATAACAAAACGTTTGACATCATGTTTCGTTTTTCGTATAGTATTATGTGAATTTGTATCCGATGATATTTGAAAATCATAATTAAACTCATTTGATTGATTATAATTATTATTTAATATTTCTAATTTATTATTGTCATTATCATTGTCACTTGAAAAATCATCACCGGTAAATACACGTGGAAATTGATAACGTTTTGGACGTTTTGATACAACATCATTATTAACTGATAATGGAATTTTATTTATTTCTAATGGAATGTGACGATTATGAACTAAAATTATATAAAAAAAACAAAATATTTATAGACTTATTTTCATAATTAAAAGTAAAATATTCACATTTTAACATTTCTATTGAACTATCTGTTTTTCTATTCTACGTCTGATACTTGAAAATATCATGTTTTTTAGCCAATTCATTCTTCTAATGGGGTTAGATCTATCTACGATACTCTAGAAAGTTCTATTAGACTCTACTATTAGACATTGTCATCAATAATTTGACATTCACAAATTATATCAATATCTTGTTAAAATTTTGATTGACATCATGTGAATGAGAAGAACTTTGTAAAAAAATATATATCAGTTTAAAAAAATGTTTTGAAAAATCAATAATTACCTGAACTAAATAGTGTAGATTCTGACTTGTTATGATCATTGATGTCATTATCTTCTATGTCTTTCTGTTTAGAATTTTTTATTGTATTATTCATTTGTGTTGAATTTTCAATTTGTCTTAATGCCAATATGTCAGCTATTGTCATTTCATTATTATTTGGAAGAATTTCATCTTCATCTGATATTTCATTATCATTTAATGTTTCAATATTTTCTAATTTAATATTTTTACATTTTTTCTTTGATTGTTGTTCATCTTCAAATTGATTATTATCCATTAAAGATGATGTTTCAAATTCCATTGATTTTTCACGACGAAATATGGTTTTCAAATTGAAATTATTATTATCTGTTGTTGGATTGATTTGATTTTTTGCCATTCCACAAAAAAATAACAATTCAGAATAACAAATTTTTGTTTGTTATTCTGAAATACAAAAAAAGAAAGAAAACGAACTGCTGCTATTGTATATAGTATAGTATGTAAAGAGAGAGAGAGAGAAAGAGAGAGAATCGTTCGTTGTTTGTATGTGTAAAAAAAAATTTTAACTTTATTCTATTTGATTTTGAAAAGAAGAAACTTTTCTCATTTTTTTTTTTCCTCTGTTATAACAATTCACACACACACACACATCCTCCTTCTTATTCAATATACATGTAATAGTTATATTAGAATAATCTTGTAGTAGGTATGCAAGAGTAGAGAGAATATAGGGTATTTTTTCCTTTTATTAAAATAAATACACCAGGTACAAATGCAATTGTTAACAACAAACACAATATTGCTTTAAAAAGGAGTATTTTAGATTTTGTGATGTGTTTTTTTTTTTTTTCTTGTTTGACATGAAAAGATGAGAAAAACAATACGAAACTACTGTTACAATAAAATATCTAGAGAACGAGAAGTGTACACAATATTAATGTGTGTATGATGGTTTTTGTTTGTTTTTTGTTTTAAAACAGAAACGATTTTCTTTGTCGACGATTTCTCATAACATTAGAGAATTATCGGGTGACCCTTTGCACTATGCAACTAATTTAGAATTACTACTATTAATTATATAAAAGAAGAGAATTAAAATGGTATAAAATGATAATTAAACAACATACACGACTTTTTGACTATTTCAAAAAAATAAAATATTTTAAAAATGATCACTATAGATTCTTGTTTTTACAATCTTAAGTAGTTCGAGGAAAAAAAGCTGTGAGATGCACGATATTTATTAACAAATAGAATAATATTTCCCGTTTACATCTGCTTAGAGAAGAAAAAAAACTACATAAACAGATATCTTATTTTGCCTGCTAATAAAAGAGATGAGAGTGCACATGCATGTATTATCACACAAACTAAATATCGTTACCAACTCTATACATCTCGAAAAATACATCAATTTTGAAAGTAATACTAATAGAAATAGAACTTTATTTTTTATTCATATCACTGTGTGTGTGTGTGTGTGTGTGTGTGTGTGTGTGTGTGTGTGTGTGTGTGTGTGTGTATTAAATAAAAAAAATCCAAGCACACACACAAGAAAAAAAAGCATATTTCATATAGTCGACTATAAAAAAAAACTGAAAAAGAAACTCATTCTAACTAGTGTTTTCCCTCTTTTTTTTCTTCTTCGTTATATATATATATATATACATCATATATTACATAGATATATATATATATATGGTGTCATTTTTACTATTCATGGATATATAAAAAGTTCATTTCAAGATATAGATAATATGTAGTACGAGTAAGATAAGTATAGATATATATATATTGTCACAAACTCAAAGTAAGATAGTGACAATGATAGTAGTTAAAAAATAATGGGAAACGCACTCAGAAAAAAGGAAAAATTTTATTTTGTCTTATTTATTAAAATGAACAGTTCTACTAGTCTCTCACTCACTTTCTTTCTTTTTTTGTGTCTATAACGTTTAATTTGTAGAGCTGTTGTTGTTGTACTTTTTTTACTTTAGATTAATGATTATTATAGGATAGTTTTCTCTTTCATCCTCTTAGTTTAAGAAGAAAAAAAAATAAAGAAAATAAAAAACGTAGAAGAAACAAAATTCATATAATAACAGTATATAATCAACTATGTGATAAAAATGATGAATCTAAGAGGTCATATGATCAATATTATTGAGTTTTAATGAACCTTACATTAAAATATTCATATACCAAAAGTAAAGTAAAATATCTGTTGATTTTTTTGTTTTCCCCAAAAACTGTAAGCTCATGAATAAATCATTTTTTGTCTCAACAATTAAAATGAGAAAAAAAAAAATTTTTTTTTTTTCACTCAGCTATATGAACTCAGTAGGGGGGATAGTCAGTAAGATCTTTCCTGTTCGAATCAACAATAACTTTTTTCATAATTTTCAAAAATATAAACTTTTATTAGTAACAATGTAACAAAATTGAGTCGAAATTTCTCATCATTTCTTAAATACAAATATTAATTCTAGAGCTAAAAAATTATGTTGTTTAAAGTTAGATGTTTAATTCCGAATTCAAACATCTACAGAATAGTATAGTATACTATTATAATCTAACTAATTTTTTTCCGGTTTTCTTCTCTTTCTGTTTTTTCTTCTCCTTCTTTACATCTCTCTCTTATATATCGATTATGACGAATTTATACGTTGCTGTGTCGGAGATAGAGAAAGACTTACATAGAATATACACGTAGACTATTTTTCTTTTTTGCCTCTGTTTGTATATACTAGACAAACATATATTTATATAGCTATACCATTGAACAACAGTAGAAAATTTTTATATTGAGAATGAAAATGAAAGCATAAACTCATATACATTTAAATAATAACTTATATCTGTTTCTGTAAAATAAAGAGCGATTGAATGTTAGAAATTTATATATAAAACGAATATTTGAACTTTTAACATTAAATTTAAGACAAAATATTAAATAAAAATCTCTTAAATTTGATAGATTTTAATTAACAAGGAAGATATAGTAGTCTAGAATATTAAATATTGATTCAATTACCTTGATTAATTTGGTCTAATGAATTGTTTGTCCTTCACCAATTTATTTTGACGTAATATACTCAAACAATTCTTAAAATGACAGTTTACTAGTTCTATATAAAACGTAGGTTATGTAGCTTTTCTTTTTTCTTTTTAAGTAATAGATAGGAACCATCGAATTTCATTGCATACAATATAGGTATATAAATTATATTCTTTCGATTTCTGTACTATAAACGATTGATTAAACAAATATATATCATCTGTTTTATAAGAGTAAAAATTTTCTTCTTTTTTTTTTTTTTTTTTCGATACACAAAATGGCATGGTAACAAAATAAATAAATAAATTTAAATCTAACCAAAAAAAATCTGTTAATATATTTAACAACAACAGTGTACCAATATATATATAAATGTCTCTTTAATAGATTTTAATAGATTTTAAGATAGAATTTGATAATTTAGAAAATGTATCATCATCTTACATCTTGTTAATAATAAAATAAGAGTTAAAGTTTTTATTTGGTATGATATGTTATAACTATCTTCTTCGTCAACATTATTTTTCTCTCACTCTATTTCGAATGACAAGAACCATTGACCATTATTTAAAAAATTTTCAAGTACAAACAGTATTCAAATAATCAGTTTCTTTTTATATATATATATATGTTTCGAACGATCAATTTTTCAACTTCACTTCATAGAAGTAAAACGTTATAATTCGTAATAGTAAAAATAGTGAAAATATTTGTACAATGACAAATATTGAATTATCCAGTGGTATATTTCTATACATTTGAAAATTTAATGATAAAAAAAAAGTTTTTTTTTTAATTTAAAGTTGTAGTTGGTAATCAAAGTATTTCGATTATTCAATATACTTACATCAATTTTAGAAATATTTAAGAGAATGATTTTAGTATACATTATCATCAGATAAAAAATAAATGCAGACTTGATCAAATATAGATAAAGATGATGAAATCATCTTTTAATTCAAATAGAAAAAAAAAAAAAAAAAGAAAAAAGAAAAAATGAAATGGAATAAGAACAAACAACGAACGAAGAAAAAAAGAGAGATATAGACATAATGATTGAAGGAACATTTTATTTTCGATTCAAAGAAGAATAACATTGATATATCATTTTATTGTATATCTATCTATCTATCTATCTATCTATCTATCTATTTATCTATCTTGCGTATACAAAAGACGTACATAGGCCGATCAACAATATAATGACATTTAATTCTGTTACAATAACGATTTGTATATTAACACATTCTTGTTAAATAAAAATAAAAAAACGAGAAGAGTTATGTGCTAAAACTAAAACTACTACTCACTAGTGTCTCTTCCTGTGTATATATTTACTTCATTATACGTTTTTCGGAGCTTCTAGATGACCTCGAATACGGTGTTCTCTTTTTTTAAATATTTGTGTATGTGCTGTGTATATCATACGTACAACATATTGAAACCTTGCTTTTTTATTATTATTTTTGTGTTATGTTGTATAGATATTTTTCTTTTTTTCTATCGATACATATATATATATATATATATATTTACTATGATTATAAAAAACTATCATATATTTAATATGCAAATCTTAGGCTACATCATGAAACAGCCCGATGGCTAGTCACCCAATCAAGAAAAATTAATTGGTTTTATAAGATAATATCCAAGAGAGAGATGATGATCATTTTATTTGGTTTTAACATAAATATATGTATAAATTTTCCCGTTTTTCCGAGAAAAAGAGTTAGACGAACTAACTATAGTTTTAATTCTAGAATTATCGTATTTTTAGTTTGATGATAATCATAAAACAAAGAGGTCTATATAGAAGTCGTAGTGTTTTGTTGTCCTGGCTATTCATTCTTTCTCTCTCTCTCTCTCTCTCTCTCTCTCTCTCACACTCTTTTTCTCTCCACATATACATATACATATATATATTTCTTTCTTGCTTATATTCTTTCATTTGTATCAATATAATAATAACTCGATAACTATACAAATGAGTATGCTTGATATATATGTAATATTCATTCTCCTTTTGCATATGTATCCACTGATATGATCGAATTGCAAAACGAAGTCATAATAATCAAATGGAAATGAAATATATATCCTATATTTTTGATATTTTTTTATTTTAATAACTATAAAAAAACAGGAGTCACTGAATATATTATTCTGATATATTATTTTTGGTATGTTTTTGAAGAAACGAAAAAAGACACGTAGATATCGAAGTTTAATGACGGTATAAATATATATATATATTCAATTTTTAACATATGGAGACATTTATTTACATTAATATTAAATAAATAGTTTTCGCTATGTTTCCATCTGTTGTATCACTAGAGATACGCTAAAATCATTTCAGAAAGAAGAATTATAGGTCTACGATAACAGTATTAGAATAAATGCAAATAAATATCAATAGGCAATATTATGTTTTATTGATATGTTCATAGAAAAGTAAATCTTAAAGTAAATCATCTTGTTCTCGGCAATGTTAGACAGATCATAAAATCACTCTTTTTGTGTGTCGCAGTACAACAGTATTGTTTAAAAAATATTGATAAATGTATCCTCAAAGTATTCCATTGCCTGAATTTTGAATAAAGATCGTAAATAAATGAATGAAAGCACATATATTTTAATGGAGACAGAGAGAGAGAGAGTGAAAAAAAGAATTTTTCAATAATCTGAGTGTCCGGTTGCGTATCCTGAGGGAAATTATTTTAGGGTTGAATCGAAATATTTTCAGAATTTATAAAGTAAAATGAAACTGGATCGTTGTAACACAGCGGTAGATTCTCATATTATTATTTTACAGTAGTCTGAAAGATTAAAATGGTTTAGATCATAATATTCAAAATAGAACGTTGGAAATGAAGATGACTGTTTCACAGGCTAACTTATTGTGTGTATTTCCGGCTATTTATTATTCTGTTCTAAAAAAGCAAGCATACAAAAAAAAAACGCACACAACAAGCATTGTTTTCCACAGTTAGATGTACATACAAAGTGAATAACAAAAAAGAAATCGAAACAAAAGAAAAAGAAAATAACAAATTATTGTTACGACGTTATAAAAATATTCTTACTGAGAATCTGCTGCTTAGCTTTTCAAATATGAAAAATCCAATGGGACCAATACAAAAAGACCATTATTTCAACTGATATAAGAAAATAGGAACAAACAGACCAGTAGTTTAAAGCTCTTGTGATAAATGACTACGTAATATAATATTGAGCAAAGGTTTTATGACAAAAAGAAGAGATACTGCAGTGATAAGAAAACTTCACACAACAATCCAAATATAGGAGTGTGATATTCACTGTTTGAACAATAATTGCACAAAAAAAAGATTTAAAAATGTTCTTCTTTGAAGAGGACGGTTTTTTTTTAATAACATAAAGAATAACAGCAATGAAACTATATTTATATTTGACGAGCACTTTTATGTATTTAATATTCTTCATTTGATAACAGTAGAAAAACATTATTCAACAAAACTACTTGTTCTAGATGGTCCGACAATATTTATATTGGGTACCATAATATTAACCGTAGGATTTTCGTCTACAAAGAAAGATATCAAGAAAGTAAGAGTAGAATTAATACTAATGGATTATGACAACAATTGGCAAAATAATATTACCTATATCATCTCGACCACTACGATTATTACGAAGTTTAACATATGTCGACGGTTGTCCACAACATGTATTGATTGAACAATCTTTTAAACATTCTAATATACAATCGTTATTGCCTACACTGGGTTCTACTTCATCCTACAACGAATATGGAGAAGAGAAAGTAGTAAACTAGTAAATGTGTAAAAAAAAAGAAGCTTACATTGATAAATTCTGGTTGAATAGTCGTTGAATGAATACCTTCATGATGGAAAAAATTCTTAACTTGTTCAGCAATACGCATGTATTCATGAAGATTATGACACCGAATATGTGCTGATGCTATAATTTTTGAGCCGGACAATTGCCAGACCTGAAAAAAAAGAGCTACTTTTTCTAATATTACAAAAGATGTTGAAATTATAGGTGTATTCCATACATGAAATTCGTGAACAGCTAAGACACCTGGAACCTAATACAAAAATAAGCATAGTGTTTTTTTAATTATTATTGCTTATTTTACATACCTGTTCAACAAGTCGCTTCTGTAAATCAGCTACTTCAATGTGAGTAGGAACTGTTTGTAATAAAACTAATGCCGATTCACGTACTTTAAAAGAAAAAAAGATTGATTTTGAAAGAAAAAATGTTGTAATTTCGCTTACGTAGTGGAATAGTAAATATCACAATCAATAAAATCATGCATAAAGATGCACCAGGATCAATATAATTCACCCACGCTGTTTTGGGCCATTTTAGCATACAAAGACCGCTAATAACAACAATCACAGAACCAAGTGCATCATTTAAAACGTGTAAAAAAGCACCACGAATATTCAGTTGTCCACCAGACACTAATGTGAAAATGAAATTTTTATGCATTCAAAATTTAAGCACAATTATCAGATTCACTTACTGCCTTGTTTTTTGTTTTTGCTTTCAGATGTATCAGCATCAACAATCGAATTCAATGGAACGGTAGCACCATTTATTTCGATATCGTTTGCATTGGAATGATTACATTTGATATTAGCTGACCCTGATGATGTTACTAAATTACTGTTCAAATTGTGATGATGGCTATGCTGATGATTCTCTTCATCATCACACAAATCATCATTATCACTGACAATCTCTTCCTTCTTTTTCTTATTTCCACCGTGAGAATGACCGTGTGCCATATCGCCTTCAAAAAGGATGAAATGAAAATACCACTGAAAAGTGTGTTTCATCAAACTATTAATTATTTACCACCGAGGATGATCAATGCCAAGATGTTGATAGCCAGACCAATAACGCCAACGACGATATAAAGAGTGAGTCTATCTTTGTCTACTGATTCTGCTTGTACAAGACGTTTGATAGCTTGTACCAATATAGAAAAACATAATGACATTAACAATATGCAATTCACCATAGCACCTAAATAAAAAGGAATTTATCAAAACTTCATAATATACTGCTTTACGCTGTCATTATTCCAATGTGTTCGTATTCCTTCTCGTGCTGACGGTTTCTCTTCTCAAATAGTACACTCTTCTTCCTTTTGGTTCACAACCACCGACTAGAATAATCTTTCTGAATCGATCATCGATTGCTCATCTTTATTGTTTTTCTTATCTTCTTAATGTTAAAAATCAACTTGTACCAGTATTTCTAGCTTTTTCATTTATTTATTTTATATTTATTCGTTTTTAAATAGTTCGTCTTTTTCTTTCTCAGTTAGCGTCCTGGTTGTTTATCTGCTTCTTTATCTAATTATTATTCGACAGGGATCATCGCGTTACAGGTCGGAGATCTCTGATGAACTCTCACTTTATGTGAATAAATTTATTCATTCATTCAACTTTGTTTGTAGTTGTTGTCATCGTAAGACAGAACTCACCCAGTTCTTGTGCTCTCGCCCATCCAAAAGTATTTTTAGGTGATTTACGTTTTGAAATCTATAGTAAAAAATTACAATAATAATTCACATGTGAGACAGTAGGAACTTACCCAAACTGAAACTATGGCTATCACAAGTGCACCACTATCAGATAACATGTGAATTGCCTGAAATGTTTTGATAAACAATAAGAAATGAATAAACAATAGTTTAACGTCTTCTCTACTTACATCAGCAACGATTGCTACCGAATGAACATAATAACCAGCGATTAATTCAACAAAGAAGAAACCGATTGTTAGTAGGAGAACTGTAGCAAGTCTGCAACTTTTTGTCGGTCGTAATCGACTCTTATGCGAATGATTGTGATTATGAGTATGATTTGCCATTCAATAAATGAAATCAGTTGCTGTCTAAAAAATATTTTCTTATGGTTACAAATCGGATTTTTAGGAAAGTCTTTGCTGAAATTCGCTGTAAAAACATCTTATCCTGATCAGAGTTGCCAGATGCTTAGGTCAGAAATGCGGAAATTTTTTCCAAAATGCGGAAACGCATTTTTCACCAAACGCAAAGGGTATCAAAAAAAGTTTTTCTAGTGCTTTATGGTGGTTTTACTTAAGAGACACAAAAGAAGTACAAAACATCATTTAAATCGACATTGGCTTTTTGTGGATAGGCGTTTTTGATCAGTCGTCATAAATTTCAAGAGTTATGTATGGAAGGATAAAATTTAATTCGAAACTTTCTCGTCTACGATAGCACTTAATGATTAAAATTTTCTGACCGGGTTCACCCTTGAAGATTTAGTATTTCACTATTTTTGACATTCTCTTTCAGCAGCACTTGAGACAAGCTAGTATTTTTCTGTTACCGCCCCCTCTCAGGGCAAATTTCTGATTTAGTTCCTAAAACAGTGCTCATCTATTTTATAAAAGTTGCGAAAGCATTGTTTTGACAGGTCATTCAGCCTCCAAAGGCGTCCAATTGTAAAAATGTAAAAATCTTCATTGCAGGAAAAAGAACAAAAGCAGAAAATCCTTGAAAAACGGACAGATTGCGGAAAAACTACAAAGAGCTGAATTTGCCAAATACAAACCATCTGGCAACTCTAAACCTAATCTCAAACGTCAACTTAAACCCAGTATTCGTTTTTTCGTCCTTTTCTTCATAGACGACTTAAATTGATTCACTAGCCATCAATTCATGTCTATTTTGTTATATTATATATAACCTGGGGATAAACGGGGCTCCTTTATTCTTCTACTCTTCTGCTTTTCTAGATTACGGATACATGGATGAATGCTAAGGGATCAATAAGAACGTTAATTTTGTCCTCTGTCGAGTTTTCTCTTTTATTCTAGTACTATACAACTGCATAGCTGACAAGCTTTTTTCTTTCTTATAAGTGGAGGCGTCAACATGGAAGTACTATTTATTATGGTGTATCGCCTGTCATCGACAAAAATGTGATTCTCCTTTAGAACAATCAGTAATCTGAAAATATGATTATATAAAGCTCTGAATCAGCGCAAAGCTCATTAAATTCGTCTGTTATTATTTGGAAAAGCAAGGGGTTCACATTCTAAGAAAAGACGTAAGATTTTGAACAAGCAGAAAACTGTAATCGCCCTCTAACAGCGAACCATGGGGTAGGATGTGCCAATAATTTACGTAATGTAACGCCTGTTTAAGGAGCTTTTTCAACCCTTCATAGAACTTGTCTGAGATTCGTTCATCCGATCAGTTTTATATTAGCAAGGTGTAAATTGAAAAAAACTTTAGGATTCAAGTCTGCAATATAAGTATGACAGTTTTATCAGCACAGAAAATAAGAAAATCAATTGTTCATTCTATTCAAGAAATTTGCTATAGAGTAGAATCAGACTAGAATGTTGATAGAGTAGTACAGAGTCATCCACAGTTGCCATCTCATCATTTGAATTTACACAAGAGTATTGTTTTCTTTTTGTTTAAGACGTATTTCGCTGACTTCATTTTTTACTAAAACAGAAATAGAAGAATGAGACTGCTATAGTGCAGTACAACTCATAACAAGTAAAATGAAATTACAGTTAATCCCGAAGTTTGGAAACAAATAAACTGTGCAACTATGGATACGATTGATCATATGACTATTGATAACAAAGGTCTGGCTAATAAATATTTTTCGGATAATACGTTTGGTGAATTTGATGATGAGTTTGGTTTCGGAGGCCTTGGACAAAATGGAAAATACAACAATACTAACAATCATTTAACTGTAGATGATGGATTAAATGGACAAAACGGACGACGAGTTTATCTTGAATCGCCTTCGTTGGCAAAAGAAGAAGAAGATATGTACAGGTATTTCTAATTTTATCCGCAGCCGAGCTCGGTGACATAGACATTACAACTTTTTAAGATACAAATATTTTTTTCTGTCAATCATAGATATGTGCCAAGCAGAATGAGCGAGGTGCCTCCTGTCGCTCAAAAGGGAGAGAATGTAATTGATTCACTGGATTATGAATTGGATTTAATCGGTGCAAATAATCATGTTCAAATGCCAATGCAGTATCGAACGAACACTCAAGTACGAGAAGCCACACAGCCAGATCCACTAACACAATTACGAAGCACCCTAGTAAGATCTCCAACTTCGAAAAGGTAATTAGTTGATATCATTTTTGCACGTCCCGTGAACATTATCTTTATTTTTTAATTTTTTTAGACCTGATCCTCGACAAGATCCTTTAATTGGACCATTACTAGCTGAACTCGATGCGCTCTCTTCACAACAACAACAACAACTGATTCCACGAAATACGCAACTGTATGAAAATCCAGATAATAACGGATATCGATCAACGTTTTCGACAACTAAAACTCGTGGTTCGTACAGTTTTCTTTTTTATTGCCTCGGATTTACTTCAAGATTTGAAATTAGAAATGAGATCAAAATGTGTGTAGAGTCTAAAGTGAGGAAGGTACAATATAAGAACGGAAAATTTTGTTTCCTTTTAGAAGTGAAATGATAATGTCATACAGACTAATTCTTAATATCTTTCAAGGTTGAATATTTGTGGACTGGTAATCGAAAAACCGATGACGTTTTATCTACTTTTGAAAATATATCATTTGATCAGTCGTTTTATCTAGAGATATTTCTCTTTTTTAGTGAATAATTCTAGGTACGTGGAAAGGAAATTTTTTAATTTTTTTTGCATATATTTAAGCTTTAAAAATGTACACTAGATTGCATATAAAAAAAATGATGCTTTTATGATTTATTAGTCAATAAGCTGTACAATTCATGTCAAATTAACAGTGGCTGCAGGCAGACATGTGAAGACTGTGGTGCCACGTTGGTACACACCTTCTTATATTTTTGCCCGCTGAGAGCACTTGAAAAATAAAATTCCATATTCATTCTGCATGAAACGCTTTTTCAGCTCCCTCTCACAGTGGGTATTCATCTAATCTAATTAAAATTTTTTGCTCATAAATCCTTTTTTATGAATAGCTATGATTGCTTAGTCGTCTCTGATTGCTTTTAAAGAAACAAAAAAATATTTTCAGAAAAAAATCAGTTTTTTTCGGAAAATCAGTCTTGCACGTTCATAGGAAATAATTTTGATGAATAATTATTCGATTCAAAATTTATGCGTTATACATGATTCGATATAATTCGATGCGCTAATTTCAAATATGACCTCATTTTCTTAAAAGTGTTCCTGGACTGTGAAAAAAAGCCATAGTTTTTAGAAACTCTACAGTGAGAGTTGAGTAAAGAGTTGGATTAAGTTACATACTCTATTTTATATAGATAAACATTTTGGCAAACCGTGACGCTCCAGAAAATGTCGGAAACTCCTTTCACTGATCAGACGTCTACGGAAACTTAGTTAATCTGGAACATAAATTTGTTTATACGAGACTTGAAGTCCCAACTGGAAAATTGTTTCTTTAGTTTAGTTAAAAGATGTATAATCTAAGCCGTTTTTGTTTCGAACATCGTTGGCTGTGATGAAAACCTTACTGGGATGCTGAATTTTTACTTATGTATTTTCTCATGATCCGTAATAGTTAGAACAAAAGTTCTTTGGGAAATATGTGGCCCATATCTTACTCTATCATATTCGAATCTCTTGTATGTCACTGACTGTGAGTTACGGTATATTAACTTTGTCGTTAGACTCTCAACAATCTTTTATTCCTCAAAATTCTGAAATTATTTATTTCCAACATCTGACGTTAGTTCATTTTGAATAAACAATTTTCTTACAGTTTTCTTGCCGATGCTGATGTTCATTATTAAACAGAGTGAATTTCGATTATTGATTAATTTTGACACTTGTGAAAATAAGTATAGAAAATGGTTTCATGCGTTAAAGACACTTCATGATTGTCAACTCTTAAATAAATGTACTCAAAGAAGAGTAGTATTGAACGAAAGAACCATCTTCAATTAATTTACTTCATCAGTCATGGCTTGAATGCACACCGATTCAGTCGAAACACTTCTGTTTATTGTGGGGGTCTTTATTTTTTTTATGTTAAAAATTTCTTTTTTACAATTATTATTAATTGTACTAGTGCTGCACACATAGATCAAAAAGTTAACAATCGATGAAACAGTCGGATTAAGTTAAATTATTTTTCTTGAATGTAAAACGATCTTTAACGATTATTCTACCAAATAGAAAGGAGTGAGTATTAAAGAAAATTTTCTGTAGTTTTTATTTATGATAAATGAAATTGGTTGATTGCTAATAATTATTTTTTTCTACTTTATCGTTCAAAAAACATAAGTTTTATTCAAATTTAAAGAAGCAAAAAATGTTTAAAACGGTCCAAACTCGTCGACCTTCACAACGATAGCTGCCATTTTTGTTTTTTTGTTGACGGTGTTAAAGAAGAAATTTCTCTCTTCATATGCGTGTAATACATCGAGTTTCTTGTATAAATGAAAAAAAAGGTTGAAAAATAAAAAAACATTGTTTAATGACAATACAAAGTGGTTTTCAGTAAGAATAATACAAGTTGCGAAATGGTGTTAACGATAATTGTTTGCCTTTTAGTAGTAGTAGTAGTCAGGCGCATATAAAAGTTTGTCAAATGGATAGAGAAATGTTTTTTTTGTATTGAAAATCTATATTTTTCTCACTAATGTACTTCACTTAATTGGTTTTATTCTCTTCTCTATAACAAAATAATAAAATAGAGACATGATCTGATATTTGTACGATACAAGCAAGCTTCTTTATTAATTGTTTTCAGAGCAAATACTCATATATTATTAAGGTCTAATTTGGGTACGTATCACATGTCATCTATGAAGTATTAGAGACTAGTGTATGACACACTTTGTCAAACAAGTTTTGAATAAAAGAAAAAAAGAAGAATTTTATAAAAGGAGTTCTTTTGTTATTCAATTAGATTCGATGGTATGATAGTTCTAATTAGACAAAGACGTCAGCAAATAGAAAGATCGATTGCTTAAAATATATTTTAGCTAAAAGCGTCAGATAATTTAGCGTCAACTCTCATGTGCATATAAATGTAAAGAAATGCATTCTATTGAAAATTCTTCTTCCGCTTTTGATCAAGATCTTAACTCAGAAAATGTTCTAAGAGTTTGACTTTCTTACTGAAGAAAAATATCGCTTTTTTTCTTGTACATCTTGACTTAACATCTTGGCCTCAAGAAATGGTAAGAAATCGAAGGAAATTTCTAGGACAAGATCTTCACTCCTGAAATGATCAAACTTTTTATTTGTTCTTGTTTCTTGCAGTCTCTCGACTCAAGGTGTTCTACTACATCGTAAGACAGAATCTACAAACAGTCAAATATGATTGAAACATTACAAAATTGATTCTTTGAATTTTGAATTAATCATGTATACTAGATATAATCTGTATTTCGAAAAATTGCTATACTATTCGCTCGTTTCTAAAAAAAAAAGGACAATTACCCCAATATATTTTTTAGTCAGAGTTTTAGAGTCACACGAGAAAAAAATATTGTTTAAGCTGTTAACTTAGTCACGCAACAAGTAAATTGAAAATTATTTTACCTGAAAACAAAGTTAATAGTTCAAATCGTTTTTTTTTTCTGATTATTCGTATTTTTCAATTCTAATTCTTATTTTTATTTTTAAAGGCGTTCATCAGGCTAGAAGTGCTACAGATGTTTTACTTGAACAAGAATTACTCAATTCATTAGACCACGATCATCAACACTATCCAAAACTACCACCATTTTCCGCACCAAATGTAAATTCGAAACCATTTGACAATAATAATAGTAATAATAATAATTTATTACAACAGGAGCGTGTACCGTATTCTGCTAATAATAATTATAATTATCAACCACCACAACAAAATTATAATTCAAATATGAACGGCACAGATATTTTTATGCCATCATCATTTTCAAGGTCAGATTTGAATTCAGATCAATTTCTAAATAATTTTGGAACGGGAGTTGATTTTGGAAATATTGGTGGCGGAGGTATTGATGATCAACAAAATCCAGTATTTCAGCGATCCACCCTGAATCAAATTGGACAAAATTATATGACACGTCGTCCGCCACAGCAACAACAACCAGACATATCTTTGTTGGATCAAAATTCATATGGAAAAATGTCTCCACCAAAATTTACAAATCCGAATGAACCAAGGTTAAATCCCTATGGCATGCCTTCAAATATCAATGTTCCACCCCAACAACAACAATATGGATACGGAAGAAATCTTCCTAATCAACATAATACTAATCATGATCCAAGCACGTTTTATCCACCTCAACAGCAGCAGCAACAACAACAACAAAATGATCCTAGGATGGGTTATAGACAACCCACGAATGAAAATACCGATCCGTTTGCTGAATATCATGATATGTTTGACTCAAAACAAAGTGTACGACCTCCACCACACATACCGTCTAATCAACAGCAACCAGCAGGACCGATCGACCGAAATAATCTGCCTGTCAACCAAAATTATTCTAGGCAACAACAACAACCACAACAACAACAACAGCAGCAGCAGCAGCAGCAGCAACATCCTTCAAACGCGAATGATATGTTTTTCACTGATATGAATGGGGGTGATGATCAGGATTTTATGAACAATACACATCGTCATCAACAACAACAACAATATTCAAGTGGACCAGTAACAGCACGAACACAGGACAATACACAAAATGATCAACAAAGACAAGCAATATGGGATGAATTACAAAAAACAAATCAAAAAGTACAAGAAAAAAATGCCAAGAAACGTGAATCAGCGAATAAACGAAACGAATTCCGAAAAGGAAATCCAATTGGACCTGGAAATACTGTTCGACAAGCACCATCATATGGTAGTCAACATTCATCAGCACAATCGAAAACATCACCAACAAATAATTATATTGATCAAAATATTGATATGATTAAAAATAAAGAAAATTTTTTTTATCGTTATCCAGCTAAAAAGTATGAAAATTTGTATTCGAAACGGAAGGATTTAGCTATCGGTGATAATGATCACAGGTATATTGAGTTTGACTGTAATCTGAAACAAAAGAAAAAGTCAGTTTTCTTTTCGTATATAGATCTCGATTAGTATCGGATCCACCACATTATACAAATCAACAGAATAATAATAATTCTTTAACATCAAATAGCGGTCCTATGAACGCAGTAGCAACCTACGGTGATTCACAACATCGTTCTAGTTTACCTGTAACAATCAATTTGAATCCAGGCGATAATCCGAATAATACAATAAAAAGTGGTCAACTACCGGCGACTGTAACAATACCATTGGATAGTCGTGTAAAACGTGATGGCGATCACATTAGTGTTAATATTGATTTAAGATTAGTCGATTTACAAAATATAAAAAGAAATTCTGTTCAACAACAGCAGTATCCTCAAAAACCAGATTGGTCAGGTCTAGACCCATTAGATCGTCATATTCGAAAAATGGAGCAGAGTATTGACAAGGTAAGAGCATATTACTTGATTCTTTGATCATAAGTTTGTCATGGTTTAAAATGTTAATATTTTATAGTGAATAGTATATTTTTAAGATATTCGCTATAACTTAATTAAAGTCTAATTTTAACTTCTGTAGTCTAATTGAGTCATCTAAACAAAAACGTTTTAACTAAATCATGTTTGATTATGATGTTGTTGTTAACGTAGAAAAATCATATAATCTGGCTGCTAACGATTTTCTACACTTACTTTGTGTGTTAAATTTGTGTGCATTTTAATGTTAGAGATTATATGAATTTTAATTTATTTTTAGTCTCTTCCGGCTACAAATCCTTCTAACAGAAATTCAAATACTATTCCAACGACAGGTGCTAATTTTCCTATTCGTTCATATAAAAACAATGATTATTCATACTCAAAACAAAATGGTGGTTATAATCCACCAAACGAATATTATAACTATAGTGATAAAGGAAAAGAGGAAGGTAGGAATTATTTTAAAACACTTTTCTCGCATTATCCTTACAATTCCAACTCTTTTTTTTGAATTTCTAGATAGTTATTTAGCTAAAATGCAACAAGCACAGAAAAGAACAGACTTTAAAACGTATACTGTGAAAGATTATCAAAAATTCAAGAAAAACTTTGGTTTTGGTACAGGTTATTTGGGCTTCGATTTTGATAATTCGACGTATAAAGAAAAGGTATAAATTGATTTTTTGCGCCAAACTGTATACATTCTTAGTACATTTACTCTAGCTTTTTGTCTATTTTAATGATAACGAATATTTTTTTAGAGTGATAAAGTAAATAAAACAAAGGAGTATGCTCAACAAATCGAAGCACGTAATAAGAAAAAATTAGCCGAAGGTCCACGACGAACATTATCTGATACACGATCACCAACTGAAGCATCAAAAACTCAAAGGGTAATATATGCTTACAATTAAATGTTCAATTTTCATCATGATTATTAATTTTTCTCCATTTTTGTTTTATTTATTTTCTTCTTGCTTCTTATTTAAAAAAAAGAATATTTGATTTGTCAATTTTGTCTTTAAATGTACAATAAACAATACATGTTTAACTTGAAAAAAGAATATTTGTAGTACTAACTACGTTGGCCATCTAGCCATTGAAGTTTCATTCTCGGGATTATCCTGTATTACACAGAATCTCATCGATACATTAGAAATACTGGTATTTTATACGAACTTCATGAATACCATGTTGACCACCTTAGAATTGAATCTATTTACTTAGGCTATAATGAATTGATGTTAGCGTATTTTTGATGAAAAAGATATAAATCGATGCTCTTGTAGAAAAGTGGAGAAAACTTTACAAACAAAAGTCAGTTTTATGTTAATGAATATAGACGACACTTTACAGAAGATGTATCGAAGAGAAGAGTCGTAGTTCTTCTTTGAAGAGAAAACTGTAATCGTCGATCTTTTATTACTAACTGATTCCTGTTAGCTGCTGCTGCTATTGCTCCTGTGGTTTGACCGTTGTAATCGGTTCGGTTTTTTTGTTTAGGCAGTAGAATATGCTCGTTTGGCCACACGTCATGTTAAACCTGTTGGTTCTGGCATATCAACACAATCGTCACCATCGCCTGTGCCTGCATCATCCGAGAGACGTCGACCAACAGACGTTGCATCACCACCAAGACAATTAAAGCCCATCATACCAAGACAACAAGATACCAATCATGATAATCAATTAATTGAACGTTTAACATTAAGACATGATCAGGAAAAACAAAAGGTACAGGGTATTTTGAACCCAAGCAAAACTTCAAAACGTGTATTTTTAAATGATAACAATAATAGTGATATCGAAAGACTTGCTCAGGATCGAGTTGAGCAGCGTCGTTCGCCTCAACGTAATCCTCCTCAACAACAACAAATACCATCAAATCGAAAACCTGTTCGATTAGATAAACCATTGTTATCAGATCCACTTAATTCTCATCCGTATCCACAACACCAGCAGATGACAAATGATCTATATCCACCACCACCACCACGTCAACAAACGATGCATCATTATAGTCAAAACGATAATACTGAACAGCTAGCTGAACGTCATAGTGATGAAAAAGTGTTGATGGATGCAATAAGACAGGAATTAAGTGAACGACCATTGAATGAAAATGAAGAGTTAATCATTGTTGAACAGTAAATTTAGAGTTCTTTTGCTTTTCCAACGAAACTCTCAACTGAGAGATTTTGCGCCAGTCTATCAATATCCTTCTTAACTCTGACCAGTAGATGGTATAAGCTCTAATACTTGTAGATTATATGTTTTCACACATCTCCCATTGTTTACCGTATAAATGCTTCCATGACTGCTGAAATAGTAAATTCTGATTTGGAGTTGCGCCACAAACTTGATCTGTATGCTGTAAACATCAGAGTATGTGATGTTGCGAATGTAAGAAAAGCGATTATTTCAAATATCTCATTTTACTGCCCACAGTATTTATCAGTGAATTTACAGTACAAAATTCTCTAATCGTTTAGATAGTGATCTATGGAATTATTTTGTAAATAAATTCTAAGAAAAACATGTCTTTCATAGCGTATGTAATAATAGATATCTGGTTCATCCGTTTTTCTACTTTCGCAGTTCTCTACATACTTTCATGTGTATCCATTCATGTGTGTGTGTGTGTGTTTCTTAAAAATATATTCATATATTTTTTCTGTTTTTGTTAAACGTCAAAGTAAATATTGAAATCAAAAATAAAAATGGATTTCAAATCTAATAATTCTCAGAGAATATTGCAATTATTAGTTGAACAGCTGATCAATTCCAGCGACGAATGAAACATCTATACCACTATAACAAAACGCTAAGTGTGTCTGTGTGTCCGTCTGTTCCAGGTCAAAAGTTAAGCGTTAAAGGTTAGAGGCAGAATGTTCCAGAAGTTCCTAGAATTTTCTAGAACAATGTGTGAAGGGGAGGTACATAACCGTTCATTGAGAAGGTTCTAGAATTTTCTAGAACTCTCTTAAAGTAGGGTATTCCTGTGGTTACATGTTGCTTTCTTTCATTTTTGTAATATAGAAAGTTGGTATCGATGATAAAAAGGATAAATTTATTAGCATGCGAAGTGCTGGGTTCCTTGTTAGTTTTTTTATATAAAAGATTAGCAGAGATACAAACAAAATAGAACGTTTCGCTCATTACTACCATCAGTTATAGTGCCATTCTTTTTCGTCTCTTCTGTAGTGTGCGATTTTCTTCTTTGAATCCCCCTTATTAATTAGAAGAATCCAAAATTTAGACATATTGTGTCATGAATACATCCTTCAGCTTGCTCGCTGCCTCTCTTTCTTCGATACTTGGACTTCGAAATCCTATTGAATTACCTTTCAAGGCAGTTTCATTCTAACTTTCACTCACCCACCTCTTCTCAATATCATCTACCATAGATGTCCCAGTGAATATACTTGTGTTCTGGTACTTAGACAAGTGCTTAAATCAGTAATGTCCAGAGTACCCATGCAGATGAAAAAAGTCGTTTGAAGGGTGCGGCGAGTACTCGAAAATAGGCCCTCGCCGAAGGCTTGACTCCTCGAAAAATGGCACTTTGGATTCTCGATATAAGCTTTCGTAGGGTATCGATTTCGACCCCTCAGATTTCAGATAGGTAGCGAGCCCTCGAGAAAAATTTCGAGCCGCCGAATACCGATGTTCGGGATTTCCGAGCCCTCGCTCTCTCGAGGATACGAGGAGGGCTCGGAAGTCCCCCGGAATCCAACGCGGGCTCGGAAATACCCTTCGAAAGCTTATATCGAGGGTTCGAAGTACCATTTTCCGAAGGCTCGAGCCCTCGGCGAAAGCCTATCGAAAGCATAGTTACGAGCACTCGAAGTACCCCTCGAACAACTGGTTAGGTACTTGGTCACTTTGTAAGTGAAGAAAAAAGCATCTTCCAAGTGAGCTTAGAAACAGAAATACTTAAGGAAGTACTAGTACAACTAATACAGGTACTTATCAAACTTTGAAGTAGGAATGTGTAGGATAGCTGTTTGAGCCCTAGCCCTACCCGACCCTTTGAAAATTTTGAGAATGTCATTGACAATAATTTTGCTTTTTTTTATTTAAATCAGTGGCCGATGAGAACCATCATTCAACTGAATTCACTATTGTATCAACGATAGAATCCATCTTTCTTAACAAAGGCCTGATCCTCCTCTCCCCTACCCTATGGTAAGGTAGGGTAAGGGCACCCTGCACTTATCTACTTTTAAGTATTCGAGCAAATACTTGTCAAGCACTGATCTATAAAAATACTTTCCAAGTACTTTTCGAAATTCACTAGAGTGTCGACTTCTGCAATTCCGTGCAAGTTTTAGAAATTTCCGAAGGTCAGTACTCGAACTTGTTGAATTCTGCTAATTTTAGGAAGTTTCATGGCTTAGAACTTGCCACTGCCATACTGATCGTATATAAAATATATTGTACAATACGACTCATTGTCAAATTAACATTTGAAATTTATTGGTATCGAGAAACAAATCAACAGTCTAGCAAATCAGTTGAATTAAGTATCTTCTGTCTGATTGTGTTCTATTTTTGCCAAATATAATTCCAACTTTTCCTTTCTGGGTATGTATGAAGTCAGTTTTGACTGTTTTTTCTATAGTAATTTTTAATATTTCTTTCATGAGAGTCGTGATGAAATCCCAGCTACAAGATGTCGTAGAAACATGATAAATTTTATTAGCTATTTGTGTGCGTAAAGAGTTTGCTATCCTTTTGATGCCTAAAATAATTATTTGTTGCGTTTTTTATTTAATGTATTGGACAGTTTTCGAGGGATTCTACATTTTGGCCGTTTCCGTCTACATACATGAAATTTTCCTTCATTTACGCGTTCGCATGATTGATTCTTTTGGAAAGGTTTAATTGTTTTCTTTTCTTTAGCACACTCACAGAACACGTCATTCCAGAAAATTTTCTCATAAGTTGTTTTCGTGCGTGAATACAGTCTTGAAAGAAACGATACAAAACTGGCATGACATGCTGTTACTAAGAATGATCAGTAACCGATAATTTACTGTCGATAATAGTAAGACGAATTTACCGAAAAAGCAGATTACCGCGGTAACACCAAAAAGTTTTTGACCGAAAGTCGGAAAAATATATTTATTTTCATCAAACTTATTTTTGATATTTTGTTTTTATTCCGTTTTTGTTTCCTAACCCTGATCATTATATATAATAGTATAAAGTATTGTTTTTCAATTATCAAATTTTCTACTATTACTGATCGTATTCTTATTCTAACAAAAGTAGAGTTTAGATGAAAAACACACTTTTTTTTGAAAAAAGATCGACATAAAATTATTTACCGAAAACTAATCCTAATAAAAATCTTTATGCCGGATAAAATCAACGGCAAACAATAGCGTTAACTTTTTTTCTATTGTTACTGTTGTATCGATAAATGGATTTACTGTTAGTCGCATCTAGTTGTTACATAGATCAGAAGAAATTAAAAGTTTCTAACCTGGTTACAGGATGCATATGAGAGTTTTGTTCATTCATGTTGGAGATATTTGAATAAACCTGTTCACGATATGAAAATCTACTGTTTGACTTCAAACACTTCACCACATACTTTTGTATTACATATTGTATGCTCCGATTAGCAATACCTTGCAAAAATATTTACCAACACCTGCATACTACAAACAAATTGAGAAACATTTCAGATTTCGCTTATTCAAATTTGAACAAGATAATGTATGTACTTTAAGTCATTAAGTGACAAAAATTTGATTCCACAGCAAAAAGACATGTGAATTGATTATTTACAATACGAGAACGAAGAAAGTCTTCTTGCATTATGAGATATCAGAATAATTCTCATTACATACAAAAAAAGAGCAGAAATCAGCGATATTTTTCGAAAAGAAGTATAATCTTGGAAGTATAAATGATATTTGTCTGATTCTCATTATTTTGGATGATCATGAGAAGTTAATTATAAACGAAATATTTCCACTTTTTTTTCGTATATGTCAAGAGTAACAGCCTGTTTGTCTATCTAAATTATGTTTTAGAAAGAAAGAGATAGTTCACCATATGACCTGTCATTAATAGGAGAGAGTATGTTTATGTATTGTTTTTCTAATTAATACAGGATAGAACACCGCTATTGTTCAAGTTTTTGAAGTATCAATCAAATTAAGTTGATTAGACTATACAAAGTAAATTTTGACAGTATGATAATAAAAATGTATACAGATTCTTCGATCAAGGATGAGAGAACGATTATATCAAAATTTTAGTACTGTATTTTACCTATACATCTGGATAATTTATTTATGTGTAGGTCAAGAGATTGAATGGGTTAACATCAGCAAAAGATGGACAAGTCATTAAGAAAGTTATGTAACAATTTTTAGTATATTATGAATAAATCTTTATACACTTCCGTGAACAAAACTTATAATAATCTATCATCAATATGTCAGTAAATATTTGACACAAAACGTTCACAAGTGGCTTCTTCTTTGCGATTCAGAGCATTCTTAACAACTGACTTTTGGACGAGAAAATAAATTCATTTGGTATGCATGAACGTAGAGAATGTTCATGCCTTTTTCTTGTTACTTTGTATATGAGAACGAATAAAGGGCATGCAAATAGAAAAAAAATGACTATCGCACTAATCGGTGACAAATATTTGACATAAAAATCAGTTGAATAAGAATCAAATAAAAAAAAAAAAAACACTGTTCATCAGTAATGTTCAATCTTTTACACTATAGTTATTACATCGCCTATACTCATGCTTGAAATTAGATATCACACAAATGAAGAGAAGTATAAAGCAAATAAACAAATTACTTGATAACGTATGTTATTAGAGAATAGAGAATTTCTGATAACATTTACGTAATTTTTGTGTTAACATACAATGAGGAAAAATAAATTGGAAAAAAAATATTCATCATCAACATCGATCTTTAAACGGCTTTATAAAGTAAATTTATCTATTGTATATTTAGAGATTACATACAATTCTTTTTCATTAATCTTACGATATGTCTAATTCTATTTTTGCTCGTTTAACAAAAAGCAATACATTTGTATAAGTGATAACACAAAAGTGTGGATTTAGAATTATTTTCAAAGGTTTTGAACAGTTCATAGTTAAAAATATCCGACTACCTAAAACTAAAGAATTTGAGGTTTTTTTGTTCAGGAATCAAACAATAAGTGTTACATTCTTCTTTGTATATTTTATTCATGTTATAGAAAAAATAACATTTTCATCTTTCTCAAAAATGTACACATAAGCATATATATGTAAGTTATATCTAATTTAGCACTTTTTGGTTTTAATGGAAAAAGACATTATTTTAATCTAAACGTATACACACATACAAGAGTAAAGAATAAAATTAAAAGTTCAACTCTACTATTCGATCAACAAACAGAAGATCAGAAAAAAAGTTTTTTTTTTACTGAAATTTTTTTAAAGCTAACTTGAACACTAAAAAAAAAGAGAAAAGAAATAGGTTCTTCAATAAATGTCAAAAGAGACATACAGGCTAGTAGTAGTTATCACTGTTAGTAAAATATAATGGTAAAACATTTATACAAAGAACAAAAGAAGAAAAAACGAAAGAAAAGCATTACACATAAATTGACCTGATATCATCGTGTTTTAGATAGTCAATTTCTTCATCATCACTTTGTAATTGAATAGGTGAATCGTTTAATAAATCATTCTCATTACAATATCCTTGTTCAGAATCTTCTCCATAACCACTGATTGAATAACAACTATTAGACATATGATTGTTTAGAGGTATTTGTGCTGGTTTACTATTACGCGTCTTTTTACTTTTTGTATGATTAGAATGTTTATCATATTTTAATAAGATTCCGCAATCAGCAAGAGGGATAATAACATCGTTGTCATTACTAATAGAAGACGGCTTATAGCGTGTTATGGTATAACGTGACGAGGAACTTGGACGTCGAGAAGTTGTAGGTGAAATAGATGGTGTACGAACATCTGAACTTGCACTTGAATGTGATGAAGAAGATGTGGTTGTACAACATGGAGAATTCGATGGTGATGGTGAAACAGAACGTGAACCCGTTGTTGAGATGATAGAAGTAGGTGGTGATATTGCTGAATTATTCATTAATGTTGATTGAGTATTTGGAGTGCGAACACGATGTGTTGTTGTTGTAGACGAAGGTTTTTCAAACGTTTTACGCAACTCCGATACATTCGGATAGACAAACGATTGTTCCGTTGACGTAGTTGAACGTATTATATTATTATCGTCAATGGTCGATACTGTTGTCAATGAACTGTTATTTAACGTAGAATTTGTTATTTGACTGGTTTGCAATGGTGATTGCACTTGTTGCTGTTGTTGTTGTATCAGCGAGCCAATATCGGCTGTTAATGCACGAGGTCTCATTGGACGTTGTTGCTTCAATGGTAATGTTTGTTGCCGATGTTCATCGCGTCTACTTATTCTTGTACCGGTAAATTGTTGAATACGTTTTTGAAATTGTTGCTGATTTTTATGATAAGATAAGAGAGATATCGGTTGTTTCTTGGTATTGTTGCGCTGATGGTCAAACCGATTAAAATCGTCCATTGCCGATAACTTTCTCGGTAATGTTGCTGATACTGACGAATTTTGCGATAATAATGTTTTGGCTTTATTAATACTGTCATGATGTTGTTTTTCACGTAGTTGTTTCCAGTTAATTGTTGGATAACAATTATTATTTAAAAAACGTTGTATACTCGAATTCGTAGTTGAATTATTATATTCCGATGTTTCATCAATTTGTGATAATAGTCTTTTATCGTAAAAATCTTGTACACCGGTGTTAGAATTAATCGTTGTTGTTGGTGATGTTTGATCAAAACTTTTGTTATTACTTGTTGTCGATATAGCTGAATCGCATGATACTGCTTTACTAACAACTGTAATAGCAGCCGGTTCACTATAATCCGAGCCAACTGCTGAATCTTGATAAATATCTTCAGTTGAACTACTACCACCTACAATAGATAACAAACTATAGAACCCCTAGCCAAAAGATAAGATCAAAACAAACCTTCATCTCGCCATTTTGATAAACCAAAACAAGAGTGCGATTCGGAAAGTAAACCTCTCATAGGTGGATTAATGTTACTGTTATTGTTACTATTCCGTTTGATATATAATGACGTATCATCATTTCCATTTTTTGTTTGTAATTCTAAATTTTGATCTTCTTGTTGATCATAATACTCATTTTCGTAATCGTCCGTGTCATATTTAATTCTTCCTATAAGTATTCAAATATAGTGAGAATTAATGAATGCAAAAATTAAAGAAAAACCTCATCAGCGTGCGTCAAGGCGGTACTAATTGTAACATTCTGTTAGATCTTTTATCTTGAATGAAATGAACGGTCGCTCGAGAAAATAAATAACTTACCACATGATTTCGATCGTCTGTCACTTCCTCCAGTGCCTCTAGATCTTGCTCGTCGTCGATGTTGTTCTTCCGACACGACATAATCAATATAATTGTAGTTTTCTGTAGGTGATGTATTTTGGTGTTTATGATTTCTTAAAATTGAGCGAAATTGTGCGGTAACCGTCAATGGATTAATATCATTATTTAATAATTCAAGATGTTCTAAAGCGGTACGTGTTACATCAAAACGTTCAGTTGTCATCATTCAACATTTAGACAATCTGCAAGAAGAAGAATGGACATATATTAGTGTAAGAAAATATTCGCTAGTAGTAGTTTATAAAAAAAATTTTTTCTAGTGTTGATGTTATCATAAGGGCAAGATAAAATCTAATAAAAATAATATGTAAGATGAATAATAATTTTTTTTACAACTAATACCACCCGTAAAACAACAAACGATAAATAACTGAACACTATATTTGCTTTTGACTATGATCGCGATGATAAAAGAACATCGTTTCTCTTTCGCAGTTACATAAGAACTAACTGTCAGTGTGGTTTATGATGGAATAATAGTAGCAGTTTGCATGATATAGTAATAAGAATCTTTCGTTATCAAATAATAGTAAGAATGATGTTATCAGAATGATTTATACTATAAGCAAGGTTATATTGCATGGTCAGCGAGAGTGAGTGTTTTGACGCAACGGAAGTATTAAGAGAGCCGAAAGAACTCTTAAGTTCAATTCAATTGTCTGGTCATTTCTGCTTTCGAAGAAACAGAAGCAATTTTCGAACAGAAAAGTAGATTTGTTTGAACATTTCTATATCTACTTCTCGCTACTCTCTAAAAAGAAAAGGTTTAACACGAAACTTAAACGGGTATAGAGAAGTGTAACCATTTCTAAACTATTTTAGGTTTCATACAAGACACGGTGCAGTACCATCGGTGCAAACCGTTTAAGTGCATAAATTCTAGCAGTTTTTTTTCTAAAAAATTTTTTTACTGAGCAAATGGACCATTTCAGCAGCTTAGACGTGTTGTCATTGTATAGGGCGGCGAAAATTGAGCCCAAAAAATACTTGAAACTTCTGTAATTTTTGAATTTTGGAGAAAAACTCATAAGGAAAAAACATAACTAAATAAGCAAACGCACTGATCAATCGTTTCAATGCACTTAAAACGGTTTCGTACTGCATCTTGTATTCTATAAAATCTAAAAGGGTTTAGAAATAGTTGCACTTCTCTATACCCTTTTAAGTTTCGTAATAAACCTTTTCTTTTTAGAAAGTAGAAAAAAATGATCTTTATTGCTGAAAAACATGATTGTTCTATTTAATCAATCAAAGAGTTATTTTCACACGGAAACATGGTATGAAATAGGAGATAATCAAAATTATAATAAGGATCTGATAAGGACGTATCCAAAGTCTTTTTAGACGCACAACGAACGACAATCAACAAATTTTCTTTTTGATACTCTTTAACTAATAAAACAGTTGGCATAAAATGTGTCGATTTACGAACCAAATTCGAACATAATTTCTAATGTTTGTCTATAATCTCTTTCTATATTTTTTTGAAGTAGCTTTATTCTAAAATTTCCAGCTGTGCATCATATATAGTCTATCTGTTGTCTTTATTTTGTTCAAATAGGTATCATCATTTCATGAATATAAATGAACGTGATATGTGTTGTGCTTATTATTCTATACACTCATGTGAGTTCCAGAACATTGCCACTCGATGTTGTTTACATTTACTATACATTGCGATTCATAGAATTAGTTGTCTATACTCAAATGGAACATATGTACGTGTACAATGAACAACGCTCGGATGATAAAAAAAATAAAAATCTACTGATTTATGTCAACAAACGAAAGATTCCCTCTACGATGATAACAAGGAGAACTATCAAAAAAAGATATATAATTCTGTTAAGATTTTCTTCTCCTTCCCGAAACAGTTTCTGAACGTGCGGTATAATTCATTTCTTACTGTATAAACCCAAATTATTTTGGGATAAAAAGAGTTAGTTAGTATAAATCACGCACGCGTGATAATTTAGCTATTTAAGCACATCGATTATTATCATTTCTCCCTGTTAGCTTTAAAGTCAGTGTCTTATAATTATATTATACGCACACACAACTATTGTAGTATACGTCATTTCTCATTAACTTAACAATAACCGATTTTATTCTATGTGACTTTTTTTTTCTCATTAAACTGTCAGTTATTATTAAAGTCGTCATATTTGTACCATAGCTTTCATTATTTCATTTAATCATACTCATTCTCTGTCTAACACAAAATAAGCTGAACAGAACTGGTAAATTGATACCTAGCATAGAGTGAGTGAACAAAAAATTCTGGCTGATCAACCAGTATTACTTTAACTATATTACAATCATGTAAGCAGAACCAAGAATATAAAGCTGTCAAAAACGAATAAAGATAGAGAACAGTCGACCTCGAACAAAGGTATTTGTTTGACAACGGTACATTTCTAGTTATAATCAATAATAGTATAGTGATATTGTTGAATATTTTATGACAGTCATATCCTATATGCCAATATTTACCATTAGATCTGCTCATTGTTTATTACACAGTAATCGTTAGATAAACAGAATTTGAGTTCAAGATCATAGTTTCTATATAGGCATTTATATTGGCCTCTGAAAAATGAATTTGTAAGCTAAACATAAGACATATTACTGGCGCAAGAAATATCTGACATCAACTACATTATTGTATGGAATTTTAGAAACTAATCAGGAACTATGAATAGTTGTTTTTTGCAGACCGTCATGAGAGAGAGATTAGATATGAACAAATTAGAAACATTAATAAAGATACGAAACAAACGTTATGTCAAAAATTAATAACGTGATTACGGCATGTGTCCGTATCACCTCTTATTTCTACTTAACTTTCATGAATAAAAAAAAATAAGGTCATTTTTGATAATAGAATAAAAGAAGGTTCTTTTTGTAAATATATACAGGTGTAGACAGAACATACTTAGATTTGTCCTTCGCTCCATGAAACATTCAATAATAAGATTAAAAATATACTATTATGTTATATTTATTGCTAATCTCATATAACACTTTGAAAAAGACCGATAGAGTTGTACCGTGACAATGTGATGACAAAAAAAAATGATTAACGTGAAGGATCCTATAGAAAGGATTTGTACACACACACACACAAGTGTGGCATTTTTCAGCCAAACGAGACTCAAACAAATGTCTTTTGTTTTAAATATCATTTATCTAACAATAATTTTAAAAAAAAACGTTCTTCTATTTCTCTTTTAAACGTTTCTAAATAAAAACGTGTTCGTTTGAGACTTTTAGTCAAAAAAAAAAATAAATACCGTACAAGATGCGAGATATCGAAAAAACATTTAGCCTTGAATTTTCATGCATCGGCCTATCACAAATGTTAAAAATAAAGTAAGAACCTATTCTGAAACTCGTTTGGGAGAAAACAGGTGTACAATTATTAGACTTCTTCAAACAATATGATACAGCATGATGTATGAATTACATGTAATCTCGAATTTTCGCATTCTATCAACCAAAGATTTAAAGGGAAGCAATTGAATAAGGTTTGGAATATTATCTTTATGCTTTACAAACTGATACGAACACATTATCATTTTCAGATATCCTTTAAGAATAAAAGAATGAGAATATATTTTGAAAATCTTATGATAGAACAATATCATTTTTGCACTTCTACACTTCTATCTAGGACGAAGATTTGACAAAAGTATTACTCGACGGAGAGAAGATACACGTTATTATATATAATAGAGATATTACCTCTACGACATATTACTTTTAATTACAAACAATCACTAAATTGTACACATAACTAATTTAAATGTTTTTCTCCCTTTCTCTTACCGTTGTTTGATGAACTGTATATTATCACACAACTTATACGTGTGTAATCTTTACAATACTATATAAAAAAGTAAGAATAGTTATATCATCGCGTTTGTCAAGAATAACATGTTATTACAGGTATATAATATTGTTCATCTATGGAGAAAATAAGCATGTGTAACAGCAAAGCAAAACAGAAAAAGTTGTAATTGACGGTTTGAGTTCAATAATGTCTATACTCTTATCCTGCATAATCACATGCTGACTTCAGTTGTACTACGAATGACAACAGCTATTATTTAAAACAAAACAAAAAAAAATAACCTTTTCGTTTTTTCTTCTTCTCCCCTGTGAATGTCTTGATCATATAGAAAAAAAAATCTACCAGAAATAAATGTGACACACAAAGTAATTTTACCTTTTCTCAGACCACACTCACACTTACAGAATAAAAATGTGTACAAGAACAACAAACTGTATAGAGATATAGATATTTTTCCTTCTCACACGGAAAAAATGAATGACAGAATACAGAACAAGAAGAAAAAAAGTAACGGACAAAGAACGTTTAGTGAACTATGTACAGTCCGGCTATTTCTGCTTAATTCAAGGCTTCACAATTTATATCAGATGAGTTCAAAGTAAACAAAGAAAGAGAAAATATCATGCTTCAATCAGACAATGCTTTTAGTAATAGTATATGAGAACTGTGGGAGAATAGACATACAGTTCTATTAAATTTCAGTGTTCATGATGAAATATTGTTATCAAAATATGTTTTAACTGTTTAATGGTCTCAATACACAGCAATTTGTTGAACTAAACGCATCTCATATCCTTTAAGCCGAAAAAAGCTCATTTCATCAGTTTCACTTTTATAAAGCAAAGTACTTTGCTACTTCTGACTTCAAGAGAGAACTTACGCTATTCAGAATTTTTCTATATCTCTATCAATTTAGATAACAGTAAGTTGTAACTGCAAAATAGTGAGCTATAGCCAGATCCGAACTAGATCCTGGGTTCGATTTATGTTTTCTTTAACTGGTGAAAATCTCTATTACAAAATAGCTTTCGTATGTACAACATATTTAAGACACATTCTGTTGAATCTACAGATCGTGTGTGTCATCACCTTTTTTATGAAGTATAGTAAAGCATTTACTTTGTACCATACCTGTTTAGAGTAAATGAATAAACAAACAGTAAAAAAAGTTCGCGTCGTCTATGTTTGTGCATAAATAATTTTATCTTCTTGTTCTTTCTTTTTTATAGGTTTTTCATTTAATCATATATCTACACACATACGCAGTTTGTCCGCATCTTTAATCTTTACTTTTACTTATTTATTCATTTATT